TCCCAAATGAAACAAAAACACCTGGTAAGGGGATCTAATAGGGGGAAAACTCAGGCCAGAGAACCTCTTCTCCTGCGTATTAAACAGTGGAGTAGTCACTCATGGATGGTGTTTGTTAGGTGCCATGGAGCATGAGCTGGTGCTGCATCAGCTGCGATGCAATGGTGTGCTGGAAGGGATCAGGATTTGCAGGAAAGGATTCCCCAGCAGAGTCCTGTATGCTGACTTCAAACAGAGGTGAGAGCGCTCCACCTTTCTCCCCATTCTTTTCCTGTTCCACACCTTCTATGTCCTAAATTACTTAAATTACTACACAGTTTAGTGTATACACTCTGTAATCAAATCACATTTCAGTAGTCTACTACTGGAAAACAATGAGGTTACATAAAAGTTGCCTTGACTTTCCATCCACTTCACATCCGAACAACAATACATGTTTCCACCCAATGTCCTAAAAATGCCTCTGAACTGTCTTTAGGGAGGTCTGCCCCTATCAATGACGTAGTCAGCTGTTGCTGAAAATGACCAGCTGAGAGCCGTTGCTGAGAACAGGCTGAGTATCCTAACACAAATGTTGAGTTGTGTTAGTAGTAGTACTAATAGAAGTATCACTGAGAAGTAATACAAAAATGTTTCACTACCAGTTCACGATGATATGACGTGGGTGATGATCAGGATTCCCTTGGACTCTGAGTTAACAGTACGAAATCTTCACTGACACTGTCTTGAAAGAATGGACTGTCTCTCTAATACATGACATTACTCAGTCAGACAGTCAGCTCTTGCTGAGAAGGCTGTGGGGTTCAGTTGCAGTGGTGGTTTCAGTAATGCGGATTTCTTCATGTTCTGCTTTCTCCTACAGATACAGAGTGCTTAATATAAGTGCTATTCCAGAAGGTCAGTTCATGGATAGCAAGAAGGCTTCGGAGAAGCTTCTTGGGTCCATTGATGTGGACCACACCCAATACAGATTTGGTCACACCAAGGTAGAATAAGTCCTGCATTCAAACACTGTGTGCCTCTGTTATGCACTACTTGAGACTGATGTGTTACAATGTTCCCTTTCTTAAGGTGTTCTTCAAAGCTGGGCTGATAG